GTTGAGTTGACAAAACAAAAGGTCATTCTTTAATAAGTTAAAGAAACAAATAAACTGCTTCATATAAATGCACACCTGTCATTAGGATAAAAAAAAATCAGTGGTGGTATCTGGGCCAGCCGTTTTACATATATTTTTACTAGGTACCTGTAATGTGTACCATTAAGCTATAATCAGAATTGTTACTATCTGTTATTAGGAGGGTATATTTTAGTTTGTCCTTGGTCAAATGACAGGTTTTTAACTCTTACAAAACCCACAATAATGTTCGGCATTTACCAATCTCAAAGAGCGTAGCCCTATTTTTAAATCTAAACCTATTTTAACTTCTATCATTTGAATACAATTTATATCGAATTGCTTGCTACTTTACAAAATACTATCACATTTCACATAGGTAATTCTGAGTTAGAAGGATCTAAGAAAGAATTCCCTGAGCTTAGATCTGCAGCTGACCTCTGCTTTTCTACACCCTTAGAGTTGAAGTTTAGAAGGATGTGATATCAGAGCTGGAGGTATATTCTTGAGTTCTTAATTTTTTAATTTCACATTCAAAAGAAATGGCAATGGCCTGTGCGCAGGTCATTTCTTTTGACAGAACGGAAATGGGAAGAGACTCATAAATATTTTTGAAACCTCCCCAGTATGGCACACCAGGACATGTGATCAATTGATCCTCATGCTTTGATATGTTACAGCGGAACTTTCAGAAATGACTTACTGGGTTGTACATCTGATTGAACAACTGCTCAGCTTGCTACATTGCAAAGTTGGGGAGGCATTGAAGCACAGACAGGGAAAGAAGGAAAGATCCAGAAAAACAGCATTAGCTCAACAAATCCAGTGCATTTGCACAGACAAACTAGTCATTAAAAAAGAAGAAATTTCAGTTTCTAAACATTCCACAGTGAAAGTGAGAGGCTCTAGGGAAATAGAAATGTTGACTTTGGCTCCTAAAAAAGAATAGCTGGAATAAGAAATTTAAGGTTTGTGTTACTTTCCCTTTCTCAAGTTAAATAACCCATGAAATAAAGAAAGCTGTCCACTTTTGATGATACATGAAGTGCTGGCCTCTAGCAATGAATCAGAAGAAGTACTTTTGGCCAAGCCTGCAATTTATTACCTGAACTTCAAAGATGGTAATAATAAAAGATTAATTAAATCTTTATCATTGAATTTATAGCTCTCCTTTTATATTAACACAAGCCTAAAGTTTCTATTCAGTCTAACTTTATAAATTATATAGATCAGCAAACAGCAGGTTAGCAATAGCAAATATCAGTAAGCAAGACATTACAGGATTAACAGTGAATGGGAGAAGAAAAAAATTAAGTCAGCAGGAAGAATAAGGAAATCAAAATACAGTATTATCCATTGCCCATTACCAACTTCTACTATGAGTTCATTCATAATTAATAATAAATAGAATTTTTAGTGACTATCCTATTATGTTCCAAGTGCTTACAGAATTTATAATGCTCTCCAGTCTTTTTTTGTGTAGAAGATTTAAATTTTGGTAGATTTAAATGTACTGAATATTATTTTAAATATCACTCCCAAGTTCTATTTCTTAAATACCTGCATCATTAACTTCCAGCTCAATGTCAAGGTGTAGAAGATGAAATATTGTAAGAAATTTCACTTTGCTTTAAGCTGAGACATGTATGTGTCTTTGAAGAGCCTGAATTTTCTGTTTGTTCAACTTTGATGAAGTAAATAATAATTTTACCTTGGTTAAAAAAACCCACTCCCCTCAAAGATGATATTAATTGGAAAATTACCAAATACCACAATTTATAACATTTTGAATCATTCTTAATTGATTACTAGACATATAAGGTAAACTTACTTCTACATACTGAACACCATATATTCTTGAAAGACAAAATTATCCACATGTCACTAATCAGGTTCTTCTCAACCCCTGGGTGTCTATTTAGGATTAATGAACACATTGATTTGTAAAGATTGCTCATAACTAGTTGTTGTACATTATGTGGTTAATATCATCTTATCAGCCTCACAAATATCAGTAAAACTTTCCTCACACATGATGTTATTGTTTTTAAGAGGTGAGATGCAATGTGTAAGGACTAGTTCCTTTTCTGCCTATAACCAATTTTCATCATGAAGTATTTGGAGACTCAAATTAACAGTACAGTAAAGCATTAAAAGTAACTATGCATGTAAATGTTCTCCATAAACTTTTATATAAAAACTCATCTTACCAATGTCAAGAATTGTTCCAAAGACAAAAAATAAATTTAAATCACAATTTGGATCCCACTGTAATTGGCAGACAAGGTTTCTGTTCAGCTAAATACATCTACGATGTTATGTACATTTTATAGCAAAAATATCTGGAAGCTCACAAATCTTGAGCAAAATTCCATTGGGAATTCATGGTTTATTTATGACATAATAAAACTATTATGTTTTCAGCTTTCATTTAGTAACCCTTTATATTTTATTCACAAGTCACATACCCTTTTATTTATAAGGAGGCCCAGACACTCCTTAAGCTTTTATAGCTGCTTATTTTTCCATGAGTAAATGATGTGTTTATATGTATATTCACATACTGTTGGCTTATATTTTCAAATATTTCATGTAGATCTCAATTCTTTTTAAGGTGATGGGCAATTGAGGTTTTTACGGAACTATTTATTAGCAGAAATTAAAGACTACTAAGAAAAGTATTTTAAACTTTTGAATTTAGTTGGTGCTAGAGAGCCAAAAATAACAAAATAGCATCTACAGGTTAGGTATGAAAATATTTAAATTATAATTACCTTATTTAATCTCACTGTACTATGCATTTAGGAGATAGCATAAGCAAACATTATTTATATACTTAGAAATAAGTTATCTTTCCATAAATTAATTAGGTCCTTTACAGCAAGACAACCATATTTGTTACTTTAATCCTGGTGACGGGAAAGCCTGGTAAAATATTGTCAGGAATAATGCTAAAATGTTTACAGGATTTGCTCTATGAACTTCAGCACACAATGTCTACCTAAGAGTTTAGGAAATCACATGCTATGAGTGATACTTTGGGCAAATCAGAGCTACCCTGAAAGAAACTAAATTGAAATGCATAAATGTTCTCTTTATATAGTCAAGTCATATATATGGAAACTATAATATGTGAACCTCTTCCTTTTAACTAGTAGAGAGTTTCAAATTCCATAGCTGACTTACACTAAAAGGGAGCATGTTGAGCATGTATCTGCAGAATTAATATATACAGTGGCCTCATCTCCACAATAGCTACAAAGAGTTGATGAAGTTATCTTTCATGGCCAGGTCTAATTGAAGTCCTCCTTCTTTAGGACTCAGCACAATGCAACTGAGGTAAGCTAATGCAAAGCAAGTTAATGAAGTTCTCTCTCAATTACCCTGAAGCCTGCCTTGCGGTCGCAAAACTGTTCATTAAATTAAAAGTACCTTTCATGAATTCATTTCTTGATATGTACATGCGCATATAACATATTATAGAACACATTTGTTATATGGGTCAAGAATGTATTATCATACACCCAAAATGCATAAATAGACAACTCAATTGCTACTTAAGCACTCTCAAATGGGCAATTTAAATTCTTGTGTTTATTGTTCAAGATTTCTGCTTAACTAGATACTGCTTGAAAAAAGTGAGATGATGAGCAGACAAGAAAAGCAGATTTTGCAATATAGAGTTTTTCTTGCTCTTTGCTATCTATAGAGGGATTTGGTCTCTATATTTATCTTTAGTTAAGGTGACTTTACTAGTGTGAAATTTCTTAGGACAATTTCCTAAAATTCTGTGGTAAACTGAACATTTCGGTTATGTATTGCATCATACAAAACAGTATATTCAATTTTTAAATATTCAGAATAATTTCTCCACAGATATATGATGCTTTAACATCCTTATCATCCACATCATATATTTTTATAACTTTAGCAAATAAATTCCCATTCCAGTGTGCTATACATTATATATAGTCAAACTTTATTATATGCTTTGATTATTTAGATTCTTATCACTTTTGAATAAGTGTATAAGCTGTTAAAGGGAAACAAATTGCTTAAACTCATAAAGTTATGAGTTTTATGTGAACAATGAGTGCAGACATACCAAACAACACAGGGAAAAAGTCAAAGGAATGATGCATGACTGGAAATGTACTCCACAAAATGTCCAGGTCAGAGAAAACATGTTAATGCTGCAATGTAAAAAACCTATTTTCTTTTCGAAAGTCTTCTACGTTCAACAAGCTTTCTAAGACATCAAGGTCATTTTTGGTTAAGTATAAATAGTCATCCCACAGATACTCTAGGGACTTTGACTATCTGGGCAGGTTTTTAGAAATTTAATATTGTCAGATAAATTTTTACAAAGCTCCAATACATTAATTGGCCTACTTCTGAAAGTAGTAAAAGCTTATCAATATAAATGAAGCCTCTGGATTCTTTGATTTGTTACAAACATTTCCATTTATCTTTTTTTTATGTTTTTTTTTAATTTATTTCTGAGAGACAGAGAGTGAGACAGCGTAAGCAGGGGAGGGTCAGCAAGAGAGTGAGATACAGAATCTGAAGCGGGCTCCAGGCTCTGAGCTAGCTGTCAGCAGAGCCCGGTGCAGGGCTCAAACTCACGAATCGTGAGATCATGACCTGAGCCAAAGTCAGACGCTCAACCAACTGAGCCACCCAGGCACCACTCCATTTATCTTTTCTAAAGTTGAGATTTACCCATTGAGTAACAAGTTGTTTTTATAATATTTTCTTACTTCCATTACTATTTTCATCTATTTTTCAAGTTTTTCAGACAGGAAACCTAAGATTTTTTTTAGGTTCCCTAACCAATTTCATGCAGACTTCTTAAAAGTGCCTAATTCTCTTATCAGCAGACAGTAAAAGATAAGGGGTTTGCTTCTTTGCAAAATATCTCCTCCTTTTCCATTTTATAAATTCATTGTAAAATGAGCATTTTTTTCTTGGACTTCACTTACCTTTTTTAACTGTGCTTCCAATTTGCTACATTCTTCTTTCTTTTGTTCAATGGCTATTTCTAGAGATTTTAATTTGGAGTCTCTTTTCAGCCCTGCTGAGGCTAATGAAGATGCATGTTCCTTGAGGTCAATTAAACTAGACTGAAAGGAAAGAACACTAGTGAGTAAAACACTGCAATTTCTACTAGTCTTCAATTTGAATACATTGATTCTATGCATAGCAATAAAGTATGCATTAGACAGAAAGGGTAAATATAGTCTTACTAAGGTAACAATAGCTGGCTCTGGCCAGGAAATTAAAATTGGCCAGCTTACAGAACCAAGCAGAATCTAAGTGTAATAGAATCAAATGTGACCAAATGGTGTGGTCAGTAAATGCATGTTTCACGTCTCAAAGTCATACTAATGATGTAAGTCCCAAGGTGGTCTTTGCATATCATGGTAAAACAGATACCCTGAACCTTCCATTTACATTTATTGCTGTCAAGTCGCGCAGACTCTAAGACAAATATAAAAGAAAATACTGACTTTAATGCTTTCCCCCCTACCAAAGGACAAATCAAGTATAAAAGAAGCATCCTGTTTAGTTTTTATCAAATTCCATTTCTTTAACAGAAAAATAACCAATGGTTTTTAAAATATTTTCTGTAGAATCAAAGATAAAATTATTTTAAAATTTAGAGCAGATTTTATGTCCCAGTTCTTTGTAAATCCAAATTCAACAAATATAATGAAACCCCAACTCAGACATAGTTTTACCTAAGTTATTCCACTCATCAGTCATGCCCAGAAACCAAGAGCTCTCCTGGATAGTCTGAATTCTAAAATGTAAGGAAGTAAATACATGGAACATGTATATTATGTATACATGTATATTATGTATGTATATTATGGAACATAACTCTGCTGAGCTACAAAGGCCATATCTATCACCAAACTTGAACACAGATAGCAAAATCTAACTGTGACTAAAATATTCAGGGTTTACCCCAAATCAGGTCTTATATGTTTCCTTTATGGCCAAGTGCAGCACCTAGAAAGACACTAAGCACACAAGGGCCATTTAGTAAATGATGTTACCTAATATTTTGTGTTGGAGCTGCTTCCTGGACCTTGGAATAACCTTGTTAATAAAGACACCACCACCATAACTCAGCAAACAACCTAACTCCTAACAACCCTCTGAAGGACAGGTTAGCCACTCTCACTTTTCAGTAAAGAAACTGAGGCTCACATGAACTGAGTGCCTTCTCCAAGGTTTGTGCTCTATTAAAGGAAGATGCAGGTCTCAAACCCAGGATTCTGACTCCAGTTTCAATGTTCTTTATCATACCACTCCCACAGAAATAATAAAGTACTTTGCAATCCAGGCATTTTGCCATGGTGAAGGTAATTATCACCCCAACTAAATTATAAGCTGACAACAACTGAATGTTGTTTTTCTTTATACATTTTAAATTGCCAGGTCTGATAGCTTTATGTATCAGCTTAGCTAGACTACAGTCCCCAGTTATTCAATCCAACACTAATCTAGCTGTTGCTTTGGAGGTACTTTATAGATGGGACAACCTACCATCAGTTGACTTTAAGTAAAGGATATTATTTTCCAAATCTGCATAAGCCTGATTCTACTGGTTGAAAGGCCTTAAGAGCAGGACTGAGATTTCCCTGAGAAGGAAGAAACCCACCTGTGGACTGCTGGCCCAATTCCTGTCTGGAGTGCTTCCAGCCTGCCTTTTCTGATGGTCTGCCCTATGAATTTCAGACTCGCCCCTTTAGCTATGTAAGCCAATTCCTTGCAATAAATTTCTAAATATGGTTAAATTTCTTAATACAGTTGTTTTTCTGGTGGAACCTTGACTGACACCCATCCCAGTGGCAGGCACGCTACTATACAGGTACCATAAATGTTTGCTGAAATGCCTGTCTGAAATCATACAATGTAGGCATTGTTTACAAAATTATTTTCATTTAAAGCTATGCTCCACCATGTCATCAAGATATCTTTTCAATTATACACACACACACACACACACACATATATTGATTTCAAGGTGCAAACCAATGAATAACACTTGCAATCAGTTATTCAAATTGCAAATGAAGTCAAAGCTTCTGTGCCTTCTGTCACGTACCAACTACAGTCATTACAGAGTCACCAAGTTAGATTTAATAGTGAAATAGTAGGAATAGTAGGATTTATACTCTTTATTTTTGTATCAAAGAAATAATCTCCACTGTAAAACAAAAACAAAAGTTCCCTACTGTAACAAAAAAGTACCTAGTGTGCTTATTTTAGGGAAAATGAATTTTGTTTCTATTACTCATCAATTCCTCCCCTCTTGGATTCCTCATTGAGACAGTACTTTAATTTGTATAGAATTATCAAAACCCAAGGGCTGAGGTAATAATGTGGGGATGGAAAATGGACAACTATGCAGTGATATAGTCCAATGGGGTGAAAGGATCTGTAATAGCCCTAAGGGAGATGGACATTTCCTGTGGACAAAAATAAGTATGAACGGGCCAATTGTGGACAATGGCACATATCTCAGAGTTTTGGAGACTGGAAAAAATACCATGCATTGCTGCTTCTCAAACTTCTCCATCAAAGTATCCCTAAGTAAACTAAAGGAGTTACATGTATCCCTCCAACCATGGGGAGTATAGCCTAACACATTCTCTCTATAACCTCAAGCAAGAAATTTCTTTAAAGTATATTGTTTTACTTTAAAAATGCAGCTAAGATTTTTATTCTGTATCCATGTTTTCTCTAGCATGAAAATGTTATTTTGAATTATTTACCATAATGTAAAATTGGTACTCCAGAAGAGTAGCCACATTTAACCTATACTTTGTGTCTAGTATGGTACTGTATCTCCTAACCTGGAGGTATTGAGTAATCCTTTTGAGAAGCACTGATGAATGTAGAGTACCCAGTACAAAGATAGCATATAACAGGCCCCTAATAAAGTGGATATGTTATTATTATTATTGATATTGTTGTTACCCCAAGCAAAAGATCCTGGGACATTGAAAAAATATAGAATAAGCCACAGAAATGTGGTGACAACAAGAAACTTTCAAGGAGCTACACTGTACACACAGCAAAGAAGAGAAGCATAGGGCATGCTGCTGAAGGGAGTTACAGTAAATATTTTCCTTTGAACTCATGCAGTTTTGCAAAGGAAAGGTACCTATGCCCCAAAAGTCGTCATACAATCCCTCAGACTAACTCTTTAGTCTCTTGAGGCTACCATGAATAGGACTATCAGCATAGTTCATTTGTTTTTCCAGACTCACCTCTTTTTCAGTCAGTTCAGCTTGTAAAGCATTGACCTTCTCTTTCAGGTCTTTGTTCTCTTTTCGAAAAGATTCTATCTCTTCTAGTCTTTCTCGATCATCTCTCTCCCTCTGTTCTTTCAAACGCTCAATTATTCTCTCCTTTGAGGCAATTGGTAAAAAAGAGGAAGTGAGAAACCATCAATGTGTGTGCCAAGGCATGCTACCAAAGGAAATGGGAGGCAATAAATGTAAGAAATGTTCTATATGAATCAACACATGCAAGATAGTCCGAGTTGGGTTTGTTATACACACAAAACAGCATTTGGGAAAGATAATCAATATGGCTTTTGGCTTACTAATAAAAGTTAGCATCACAGTGTTGCAAGGGACTTTAATGTTCAAGTTCTGGGGTTGTTTTGGTTCATGACAGTACTTGGAAAATTCTAAAAACAGTTCCAGAAGAGGGAGGTTTAGGCACCATGACTCTAGACTTACTAAAGCTTTCAATGCACAGTGGAAGAAGCAGAACTAACCTCTTCATTCAACCCTCTGCTTGGCTTTCCCATTTGATAACAAAGAAACTTCTTTGGTTTCTGAAAATTCTTCTCCGGCTAGAAAGAGGATCTGAGTAGGGCAAGATCTAGGCCCTCTAGGGTCTGAACTCACACTAAGAACCTGAGACAAAATAATGAGCTCATTGTATAGTGATTTTTAATGTGCCTGGAGATGTTCATTTTCCTCCATATTTTTTCAATGGCTTCTTGGCAATCAGTAGAGACTCCCAAAATATTGCTTGAATTCAACAAAGTTCAAACAGCAGCTTTCCTTTACTGAAACCTAGGTACTGCGAAGTGCCCTTCTCCATCTAGACATCACCACAATTGCAGGGTCTGAACCAGTGCTACTAGTAACAGTGTAGTAGTGAGAAACCCAGACCAAGGACCAGCTAATTCATCCAAGGTGACCCAGCACATAAAGAGAAGGCATACCCTTCTCTGAATCTCTCTGAGTCTTAGCCATGTCCATAAGACCACACTGCCACAAACATAAGCATGGTGCCATTTAAGGAGATCTGAGCACCTTGCCACTCTTGACTTATATACTGAAATGAAAACACTACTCTGGTAGACATGTTTTCCAAACATTTGGAAACTTACCAATATCAGAGTAAGGACCTCTTCTTTTTAAGTAAAATTCCATTTGAGTAAGATTGAGTTAGATTTCTGAAATTTGTTTCATATTACCCAACACATATCTGAACTCTCTTTTGGATGGCAAATCTTTTTTTTTTTTTTTAATTTAAATTCAAGTTAGGTAACATACAGTGTAGATACAGTGTTAGATAACATACAGTGTACATACAGTATAGTCTTGGCTTCAGGAGTAGAACCCAGTAATTCATCTCTTAATATGACACCCAATCCCTAAAAGTGCCCTCCGTAATGCCCATCACCCATTTAACCCATCCCCCCACCCACTCCTTCTCCAGCAATCCTCAATTTGTTCTCTGTATTTAAGAGTCTCTTATGGTTTGCCTCCCTCTCTGTTTTTATCTTATTTTTCCTTCCTTTCCCCATGTTCATCTGTTGAGTTTCTCAAATTCCACATCTGAGTGAAATCATATGATATCTGTCTTTCTCTGACTGACTTATTTCACTTAGCATGATACATTCTAGTTCTAACCATTTTAACCATGTTGTTGCAAATGGCAAGATTTCATTCTTTTCATTGCCAAGTAGTATTCCATTGCGTGTGTGTGAGTGTGTATACGTATATGTATACACACACACACTCACACACACACATCTTCTTTATTCATTCATCAGTCAATAGACATGTGAAGTGTTTCCATACTTTGGCTCTACGTTGATAGAGCTGCTATCATTGGGGTGCATGTGCCCCTTCGAATCAGCATTTTTGTATCCTTTGGATAAACTTTTAATAGTGTAATTGCTGGTTGTAGAGTAGTGGTATTTTTAATTTTTTGAGGAACCACCATACTGTTTTCCAGAGTGGCTGGACCAGTTTGCATTCCTCATGCAAAAATGTTCCCCTTTTTCTGCATCCTTGCCAACATCCGTTGTTTCCTGAGTTGTTAATTTTAGCCATTCTGACAGCTGTGAGGTAGTATCTCATTGTGGTTTTGATTTGCATTTCCCATTTGAAAGTGAATGATGTTGAGCATCTTTTTATGTGTCTGTCTGCCATCTAGATGTCTTCTTTGGAAAAGCATATATTCATGTCTTCTGCCCATTTCTTCATTGGGTTACTTGCTTTTTGGGGTGTTGAGTTTGGTAGTTATTTATAGATTTTTGGATACTAACCCTTTAACCAATATGTCATTTGCAAATATCTTTTCCCATTCTGTCAGTTGCCTTTTAGTTTTGTTGATTGTTTCCTCTGCAGTGTAGAAGGTTTTATCTTGATGAGGTCCCAATAGTTCATTTTTGCTTGTATTTCCCTTGCCTCCAGAGACATGTTAAGAAGTTGCTGCAGCTGAGGTCAAAAAGGTTGCTACTTTCTCCTGCAGGATTTTAATAACTTCCTGTCTTACATTTAGGTCTCTCAGCCATTTTGAATTTATTTTTTGTGTATGGTGTAAGAAAGTGGTCCAGGCTTATTCTTATGCATGTCACTGGCCAGTTTCCCCAGCACCATTTGCTTAAAAGACTGTCTTTTTTCCATTAGATACTTTTTCCTGCTTTGTCAAAGATTAGTTCCCCATATGTTTGTGGGTCCATTTCTGGGTTCTCTATTCTATTCCATTGATCTATGTGTCTGCTTTTGTGCCAGTACCATACTGTCTTGATGATTACAGCTTTTTAATACAGCTTAAAGTCTGGAATTGTGATACCTTCAGCTTTGGTTTTCTTTTTCAACATTACTTTGGCTATTTGGGGTCTTTTGAGGTTCAATACAAATTTTATGATTGTTCTAGCTGTGCAAAGAATGCTGGTGTTATTTTGATAGAGAGTGCACTGAACGTATAGACTGCTTTCGGTAGTATGGACATTTTAACATTATTTGTTCTTTCAATACATGAGCATGGAATGCTTTTCCATTTCTTTGTGTTTTCTTCAATTTCTTTCATAAACTTTCTACAGTTTTCAGTATACAGCTCTTTTACCTCTTTGGTTAGATTTATTCCTAGGTATTTTATGGTTTTTGGTGCAATTTTAAATGGGATCGATTCCTTGGTATCACTTTCTGCTGATTCATTATTGGTGTACAAAAATGCAACCGATTTCTATATAGTGATTTAATAACCTGTGACTTTGCCGAATTCATGGATCAACTCTAGCAGATTTTTGATAGAGTCTTTAGGGTTTTCCATGTAGAGTATCATGCCATCTGTGAAGAGTGGAGGTTTGACTTTTTCCTTGCTAATTTGGATGCCTTTTATTTCATTTGTCATCTGACTGCTAGGGCTAGGACTGCCAGTACTATGATGAACAAGAGTAGTGAGCCTGGACATCCCTATCATGTTCTTGATCTTATGGAGAAAGCTCTCAGTTTTTCCCCATTGAGAATGACATTAGCTGTGTGCCTTTCATATATAGCCTTTAGAAAATTGAGGAATATTCCTCTTATGCCTACTTTCTTGAGGGTTTTTTATCAAGAAAGGAAATTGAATCTTTTATCAAAAACCTCCCAACAAATTAAAGAGTCTTGGGCCAGATGGCTTCCCAGGGGAATTCTACCAGACATTTAAAGCAGAGTTAATACCTATTCTTCTCAAACTGTTCCAAAAAAATCAAAAGGGAAGGTAGCTTCCAAACTCATTCTATGAATCCAGCATTAACTTGATTGCAAAACCAATCAAAGACCCCACTAGAAAGGAGAATTACAGGCCATTATCCCTGATGAACCTGGATGCAAACATTCTCAATAAGATAGTAGCAAATTGAGTTCAACAGTACATTAAGAATTATCCACCATGATCAAACGGGACTCATTCCTGGGCAGCAGAGCTGGTTCAATATTCACAAATCAATCAATGTGATACACTGCATTAATAAAAGAAAGGATAAGAACCATATGATTCTTTCAATAGACGTAGAAAAAGCATTTGACAAAATATAGCATTTTTTCTGGATAGTTTGTTCAAAAATACTGGTGCAACAGCTACTTTTAAGGATCCTGATATTACCTTTTATATGCTACTAAGTACACAGTACAAGACAAGGCCTGATATATAACACAATATAAAACAGTATGTGGTGCAGAGGCAAGTTAGTTTGAACGCTTAGCCTATGATTTAAGACCCCCCCCCCCAAGGAAGCAACTGTTCTACCCCAATGACAATAATTTATGTACCTAATGCTTTCAAGGATAAAAAGAGGTATCGTTATTGTTTTGCAATTAGTTAAAACCACTTTAAAATGAAGTATATTATTACAGCAGTGGGGGTGGAAACAGAACAAATCAGTCTATTAATTGCCTACATTTATTTCTTCTTGATTCCAGTTATAGTCCTATTTCACTCTGTCTGTGACACTGGTGAGTAGATAATTATGGGATCTACCAAAGAAGACAATGGCATCAGTGCACAGGAAGTCTCTTAAGGGCTTTAAAAAATTTTAGCAACTGAGCCCTTACTGCCTTATGCCTACACATACTGCAAAAGCATCACAAATGGTCACCTAGCCACCAGGATCTCTCCTTCCAATCACTTCCACCACATGGGATGTTAGAGTGACATTTTTTTATGGTCTCTACATGGTTCCTATTTTATTTTTTTATTTTTTTTTACAAATAGTTTATTGTCAAGTTGGTTTCCATATAACACCCAGTGCTCATCCCCACTTGTGCCCTCCTCCATGCCCATCTCCCACCTCCCCCCCACCCATCAGTCCTCAGTTTGTTCTCATCATTCAAGAGTTTCTCATGGTTTGCCTCTCTCCCTTTCCCCCAACATTTCCCCCCTTCTTCTCCCCCATGGTCCTCTGTTAAATTCCTCCTAATCCTCCTATATGTGCAAACATATGATATTTGTCCTTCTCTGCCTGACTTATTTCGCTCAGCATAACACCCTCAAGGTCCATCCATGTTGCTACACATGGCCAGATTTCATTCTTTCTCATTGCCATGTAGTATTCCATTGTATAAATAAACCACATCTTCTTGATCTATTCTTCAGTTGATGGACATTTAGGCTCTTTCCATGATTTGCCTATTGTTGAGAGTGCTGCTATGAACATTGGGGTACATGTGCTCCTATGCATCAGCATTTCTATATCCCTTGGGTAAATTCCTAGCAGTGCTATTGCTGGGTCATAGGGGAGTTCTATTGTTAATTTTTTGAGGAACCTCCACACTGTTTTCCAGAGAGGATGAACAAGTTTACATTCCCACCAACAGTGTAGGAGGGTGCCCATTTTTCCACATCCTTGCCAGCATCTAGAGTTCTCTGATTTGTTCATTTTAGCCACTCTGACTGGCATGAGGGGGTATCTCAGTGTGGTTTTGATTTGTATTTCCCTGACATTTTTTTTAAGTACCAAACTAACTATCTCATCTCACTATTTGGGCCAAATCACATGGCATTTATTCCCACTTGGAGCCCTTCATGTGACTTTACCGCATGTCCATTCCTCTCAACCTAGCTTTCCAAAGAAGGCACTCAAATCCTTGAATCTTTTAACTCAGCCTGGTCAAATTGTCTGGCATACAACAAGCATTAAAGAGGCTGAAGGCAGGAATAAGAAATCAAACTAGGGATCATCTTAGGTTCAAAGGAAGGGAAATAAAATTAAGCATGTGTGTTAACATCCAGAAGGTGTCACAGTCCTTTAGTAAGTAGGTTGATTCACTCTAAGCACTTGAACTATTGACTGGGCATTGATGACCAAAAAAAAAAAATTAGCAAGCACTATAATGTTTTTAAGTGTTATTGATGATTCAATACTACGAAATATTTCTCCGTCAATCACAAAACTAATTTAACTGTCAGCCATGTAGGGCCAGATGTCAAAAACATGTGTTAAAAGGCCCTAATATGCCATGATCTACTTGATTAACAACTAACTTGCAGAAATTCCAACAATGTGTTCTTGTTTTAGTCTTATTTGCATTGGCAAGCGTTCCTTGTGCACTCATCTGGCTCTGCACGAGTCTAATCTATTTGTGCTTTATCACTGAGCGGGAACTGAATTGCAGTGGCCTCCGGCTCGGCTATCTGCCTTTCTCAACTGCTTATCTGCTATATGGCTACAGCAAGGCTTGGCGAGACCAGCTTTATAAATACTGTGGGTTCCGTCTCTTGAGCTTCTGTGTGTCAATCCTAGAACTAAGTCATACTCAATCTTAACTTGCTAAGTGGCATTATTTTTTTGCACTGTGAATATGTATATAAATTCCTGGAAACTAAAAGGAATAACACACTCCCCAGAATGTCATAACCCAAGTGGAATGGTGCTTAGTGCCTGATAGGTTCTATTAATCAGTCAAATGACCGCAAATAATTAGATGCTCTTATTATTCCACATTTTTTTATTCCACAATTTTTAATAAATTATTTTACTTTTTGTACCATATCTTGTTCCAGGAAATCTGTTCAATTAAATGTGGATAAAACCGAAACTTATGAGGGAAGGACCATTAAAGGCGATTGTGATATTGTTAAAAGCACAACTATCAGGTTTGAATTTCAGTCCCATTCCATCATCATAAACTGAGTGGCTCTGGGATAGTCCAGGGAAGACAACAAAGTCCCAACCAAGGGCCTAGAAGTGGCTTCCTGGAGAATTGGGTTGAGAAGTTAGCATATGCCATGGTCTGCCTATGATATCCTCACAGGACCCAGAAATAGGGAATGGTGCTGTACCTGTCCAAAATTTTTCATTTTTGGGCAAATCATTTCACCTCATTGAGCCCATTTCCCATCTTTAAAATGGAAGAGGATGGCTTTGGTATTTCTCAAGTGTAGTCACCTGACCACTTTCATCAGAATCGCTGGGCATGTTTGTAAAAATCACAGGTTTGTTGGCCCCAGAGCAAAGCAACTGAATCAGAATCACTAGGAAATGGGACCCAGGAAACTGTTATTGGAAGAAGCTCCCAATTGGGGGTGTCATATGTAAGTGATGAATCACTGGGTTCTACTCCTGAGGCCAAGACTACATTGTATGTTAACTAACTTGAGAATTAAAGAAGAAGAAGAAGGAGAAGGAGGAGAAGGAGGAGAAGAAGGAGAAGGAGGAGAAGGAGGAGAAGGAGAAGGAGAAGGAGAAGGAGAAGCAGCAGCAGCAGCAGAAGCAGCAGCAGCAGAAGCAGCAGCAGCAGCAGCAGCAGCCTAGATGATAAAAATATTTGTTGGATACAAAACAAAAGTTTGATACCCAGTGGGATCAATACTTAAAAAGAATCTACTATTCTTTGTCTCATGATAGAGAACCTTGCCAGTTCCTATCCAATGTTTTTATCTGTGCTTTTCAAATACACGAACATCCTGATTTGGGCACCTTTTGAAAATTCCTTCCAAATAAATTGATCTGTGTTTGCTTTGATACTTCTATATTGTGTAAGTCTACAAGGCAGATGCAATTAAGGTTTGAAAACTAAGATCTCATAGGCCAAAGCTGGCCCACATCCTATTCGACTTGAGCATCATAATACTTTAATGTATTATGTGCACTTGAATAGTTTGAGGCAGGTAAGGTCCCTGCAGCTTGTCACAGTTGCCAGCAATTCTTACTGTCTCACACCAAACCCTATTCCCTCATTTTTGTTCCCTGTTTGGTGCTTCAAGGTATCTAACTACACAACTCCTCATCTATTGCCCAATTCAGAGTTCATGTGCTTAAGATTGTGGATCAGCAGACTGATTAATTATTATCAAGGTAGTTACAAAGAGAACGGAACTTACAGCCCAGCTAATTTAAACGTGCATTTTGAAAATAAGGCACTAAGAGAAGAGGCTTGCCTTAGGTGAGGCAACAACTCTCAAGTGGTGGCATGAATTTGAGGGGGGCCAGACTCCCACAGACCTCAACCTACCTCCCAGTCATCTCCTTCGTCTCAAAGGAAGTGCTTAGATAAAAGGAGTAGTTTCAGATTTGGGAACTGTTTAGGGATTTAAACTAGAATAAATCAAATCTTAATAGGGCCAGGGGAAAAAATGATAAAATCCTGCCAAGAATCCACTATATAGAAAAATTATATGCTATACGTTTACTTTTGTAAAGTTATCATATGATATCATATGACATCATGTCACTCAAAAACTGCAAACAGGATACATAATCACTAATAGTTTTTAGACTAATTCACTCATTCATGTTTTTAACAAACAAAATTACTACAGAATTTTGGTAATAAATTCTCAAAAATTTTAAAAAGAATATTCTCATTGAAAAATCATCTTATTTATTTTTATATATTTTCAAATTAAATCTTTATAATTTAATATTACAAATGTTATAATGTTATTATTTCTTCTAGCCATAAAAATAGAATTATATCATGTTTTTAGCTTCTCTACTTTTTTATATAGTGCAGAGGCTCTCAGACTAGAGTGTACATCACAATGACCAAAGGAACTTGCTAAAACACAGAATCCCAGAACCCTTTCAAGGTTCTGATTTAGTAGGTATAGATGGAACCTAATAATTTACATTTTCAACAGGCATCTCCTGGTGATTCTGAAGTAGAAGCTAAAGAAGCCTTCTTTAAAATAGTTGGCTTAAAAAAACCTATAGACCATTTAATCTAATGCCTTCCATTCTACAAATCTGAGGTGCTGAGAAAGACAGTTACTTGCCAAGGTCATCTAGTTAGTGACAGGGCTGAGACTGGCTCCTAGTTCTCCTTCCACTTGACCTTATTACTGTAGTTTATAGACTATGATCATGCAGAATATAGAAGACAGGGAGTCTAGCTCCCAAAGTCCACATCCTTGACTACTGTGCAATACAGCTTTTCAGGAAGCTGAACTCCCAGAAGATGAATTAAATCTTCAGGAAGTAAAGAACATTCTAAGTTAGGTAACTGGGTGTGAAAAAGGCAGGAATGAACATGGTGGACTTGAACATCTAGAAGGCCAGCAGAGCTAGAATACAAAGAACGAGGAAAGAGAGATGGGGATGAGGTTGGAAAAGAAGGAAGGAAGGGAGGGAGAATAAAAGGGAGAAAGGAGGGGCGCCTGGGTGGCTTAGTCGGTTAAGCGTCCGACTTTCGCTTAGGTCATGATCTCGCGGTTCGTGGGTTCGAGCCCCGCGTCGGGCTCTGTGCTGACTGCCAGCTCGGAGCCTGGAGCCTGTTTCAGAGTCTGTGTCTCCCTCTCTCTCTGACCCTGCCCTGCTCACGCTGTCTCTCTCTCTCTGTCTCTCTCCTAGAAATAAATAAAACATTTTAAAAAAATAAATAAATAAATAAAAGGGAGAAAGGGGAAGAAGAAAGGAGGATGGGAAGGAGAGAAGAGTAAGGCAGGCAAAGAGGTAGCTGATCAGATATGAGCCAGATCAGATGAAGGGATGGACTGTATAGGCCAGATTAAGGATTTCAGTTTATATCATCCAAAGAAAAGTAACAAGCTAGTGAAGGTTTTTAAACAAAGCCAAATGTGATGTAATCAGGTTTGCATTTCAAGGCTCTCTTGGCTTATTTAATGTGCCAAATCTACTGAGGAAGGCTAACATGGCAGTGGGAGGTCCAGCTGGGACTGGGGGTAATGTGAGCACATGGAGAAAGGCAGGCACATTTAAATACATTTAGATAATTTCCTCCCAACCACCCCATTTTTCACCCCAAGCTCACCTTTTCTGACAAAGCCTCTTCTAGTGTTGCTAGCGCAGTATCCGTATTACTAGAATCTGTCTGCAAGGACTTTACTCTGTCTTTCAGATTGGTTAGTTGCTTGTCTTTATCCCTAAGTTGTTCTTGCAAGTTTTCAATCTGAAAATAAAAATTAACCATATTTAATGCATATTTTATTACTTACCCAAGGACGACATTCCTGAGGTGGACCTGTTTTAAAAAATAGATGCAAGGTTATGGACATTGTCATCATTACAAGGTTACAGTGACTTAGAATCAAGGGCATTTTATGAGACCTTCATCCTTCCATAATTCAACTTTGTATTTAAATGGCAATACAGAGGAGCAGACTACCTCCTTGTATACAGAGGCAAGCCCTTCATATATGTAAGCACTATTATTTCTACCTATTTCTATCCCTCCCACCAGACCTTTAAGTCTGAAGTCCATCACCTAATCTCTGTATTGTGAATCAGGTAAATACATATGCAGGATTTATTCATTCAATGAAAAGACAAGTATTGGGTGCCCATTCTGCATTAAGCACCAGAACAATATAGGGCAGAACCTATGTGGTCATCATTCACTCATTCCTGTATTCAGTATTAAACTTTGTGATATGCCAAATGTTGTCAAGTGGCTGTTTCAATAACCACATGAAAAGCCAAGTAGGTTATCATCAGTAGACTGTTAATGGGAAGAACTTGTGATATAAATCAAATGTAACAAGTACTAAACACTCCATTTGGCAACTAAGTCATGTGCTGGCAACCAACCAGCCACTTTTATCCACTATCTGTAGCTTGAAATAAACACGCCAAATAGCTGATTATAACGCCTGCCCATGAGCAGCAGCAAGGACCTTTCCTGGGCATTGCGTACATTATCATTCATGTTTTTATTCTCTGCTTTCAAACCATGTATTTCTTATCTAAGGATTAAAAAAAAAACACTGTATAAACAATTTATTCATATTAAGGGTTTTAAAGTGACAAGTAAAAAAAGCAGTACAACTCTAGATAAGTCCATTCAAAATATTTGTATTCTGCACCCAGGCTTTCGCAGGAAATCATTCCAAATGCATGTGTAACAATGTGTGACTTAAACAAATTTTTGGATTATTTGATTCATTTAGCATAAATCTGGAATAAAATATAAATAATGACAGAAGTTGCAGCAACAAGGAGGAGGAAAAGAAGGTGACAGTGGGGGTGGCCGTGGTAGCAGCATCAAAATATTTCTGAATGCAAAAACATTGACCTTGCTGACTCTCAACTGGCAGGAGAAAGGACTTGACAACTTTTTTCAATAGCTACAATGGATTTGAACTAACAGAAATGGACTTTTTCCCCTTCCTCCCTCCCTTCCTTCCTCCCTTCCTTCCTCTCTTCCTCCCTGCTTTCTTCCCTCCCTTCCTCCCTCCTCTTTCTTTCCTTTCTTTTCCCTCCCTCCCTACAACTTTCCTTTCACCGCCCCCCACCAATATATCTTTTTAATAAGATATGTTTTCTGCCTAGAGACAAACATCCTGGAAACTCAAGTTATAAGACAAATAATTAGTCTCTCCTTTATCAAAATGCAATATATTCCTGCCCATGTACCACTGTGAGAATGCACTGTCCTTCCATGGAAAACACAGGAACTCAAAAGGCATAATCATCTGCAGTCAAAACAAAGGTTTCCTCCATGCCAGACAAGTGTTCATGTGGTTACACAATTCCAAAATAAATATATGAGTGAACAAAAATATGGATAGTTACATGTCAGAATGATACTCGTTATGTAAAAGAAGCTAACAGCTGAGAAGACTGGCTCTGTAAGGAGACTGTGTGTTCTTATTGTGAGTACACCCACACCACAGATACCTCTGTGTACATGAAAATGTGTAAATCCATGGTAGTCCCAACCAAACTGATTAGGCACCCGCTGTCACTCTGGGAGGCAGTGCCCTGGACAGAACAGAGAACACCTTTCCTCAGGGTGTCAGCCCTCAGGAGTGGTAGGCACTGATTTCAAGGGACTTTGGGCACCGGAAACAGAGGCTGTGAGCCTATGAGAGACTTTCTGGGGCCTCCCCAAATCACTGAGAGGACCGAGGAAGATAAGGACCAGGGTTTTACCAGTATACATGTAATATAAAAACACTTGGTATTTTCTGATTTTTTGATAGTAGCCACCCTAATGGACAAGAGTAGTGTCTCATTGTAGTTTTGATTTTCATTTCCCTAATGACTAGTGATATTGAATGATCTTCCCATATGCTTACTGGACATCTGTATATCTTCTTGGGAGAAATGCCTATTTAAACCCTTTGCCCATTTTTGAATCACATTGTTTGATTTTTGTTGTCGAGCTTTTAGGTATTCTCTGTATATTCTGCATATAAATACATTACCACATATATAATTTATAAATATTGTCTCCAATTCTGTGGGTTGCCTTTTCACTCTGCTGATAATTCTTTTGATGCATAAATCTCTCCCTCAGTACCGCTTTCTCTACATTCCATATGTTTTGTTACATTGCACTTTATTTCATTCATCTTTAAGCATTTTTTCATTTCTTTTGTGATTTGTTTTGATCTATTCATTGTTAAAGAGTGTGTTGTTTGGGGCACCTGGGTGGCTCAGTTGGGTGAGCATCCAATTCTTGATTTTGGCTCAGGTCATGGGATCAAGCCCTGTGTCAGCCTCCACACTGAGCGTGAAGGCTGCCTAAGTCTTTCTCTCTCTCTCCCTCTGCCCTTCTCCCCTGTTTGCATTGTCTAAATAAATAAATAAATAAATAAATAAATAAATAAATAAATAAAGTTGTTAAAATCTATAAATTTTGTGAATTTTCCAGTTTTTATGTTACTGATTTCTAACTTCATTCTCTTGTGGTTGGAAAAGATACTCTGTATGATAGCTATATTTTGAAAATATATTGAGACTTAATCTGTGGCCTACCATAGGGGGAATGTCCCATGTGCACTTGAGAAAACTGCACATGCTCCTGTTGTTGGGTACAGTATTCTGAATATGTCTGTTAGATCTTGTTGATTTATTGTGTTAAGTCCTCTATTTCCTTATGTATCTTCTCTCTGGTTGTTTTATTATTAAGAGTGAGGTACTAATGTCTCCAACTATTATTGCAAAACTCTTCTTCCTCCTTCAGGTCTGTCAATTTTTGCTTCAAATATTTTGATGGTCTGTCATTAGGTTCCTCTCTGCCTATATATGTCATACCTTCTTATGGTATTGAAATTTTAATTAATTCATAATGCCTTTCTTTGTCTCTTGTAAACTTTTCTCTTTCCCTTACTACTTGCATAGAACACATTTCTTCTTTCTTTCACTTTCAATCTATTTGTGTCTTTGGATCTAAAGTGAGTCTCTCATAGCACATAGTTGGATCATGTTAGGGGTGGACTGTTTTTATGCTTGTTTGATCTTAATCCATTCTGCCAATCTCTGTCTCTCAATTAGAAAGTTTAATCCATTTACATTTAAAGTAATTACTGAAAAGGAGAGACTTATGTCTGTCATTTTATTCGTTTCTTATATATCTGATAATGTTTTCTGTTCATTTTCTGCATTGCTGTCTTCTTTTGTACTTAGTTGATTTTTTTGGTACTGAAATGATTAAATTCTATTATCAGTGTGTGTGTGTGTGTGTGTGTGTGTGTGTGTGTGTGTTCTACAACTATTTTCTTTGTGGTTACCATGAGTATTACATGAAACATCCAAATTTTATAACTCTCAGCACTTAACACTTTGAATTTATACCAGTTTAGCTTCAATAACATAAAAGAACTCTAGTCTTTTATAGCTCCATCTCCACCCCTTTGGGCTACTGATGTCACAAAATTATATCTTTATACATTGCGTGCTCCCAAACTAATAATTCTTTTTAATGCATTAGTCTCTTACATTATGTAGAACATGGAATTAAAAACTAAAGTTACAATGATAGTTTGAGACTAAAAGTTTCTTAAAATATATTAGTCTCAGGGGCACTCAGGAGTGTAAGTCCCACATCGAGTTCACAGCTGTCAGCACAGAGCTGGTTTCAGACCCTTTGTCCTCCTCTCTGCCCCTCCCCTGCCTGCCCTCTCTCAAAAACAAATAAAACATTAAAAAAATAATAATAAAATAAAATATATTATTCTCCTAGATCATATAGAAAACAGAAAGTGGATTACAAACCACTGTTACAATAATTGTAGCTTTTATATTTGCCCATGTATTTACCTTTATTGAAATACTTCTTACATGGCTTTGAGTTACCATCTAGTGTACTTTCATTTCACCCTACATGACTCCCTTGAGCAATTCTTGTAAGGCAGTTCTAATGGTAACAAACTTCTAAGCTTTTGTTAATCTGGAAGTATCGTAATTTTTTCCTTCATTCTTAAAGAACAGTTTTGCTGAATATAAGATTCTTGGTTAACGTTTTTTGTTTTGTTTTTTTTTTTACAAATAGTTTATTGTCAAATTAGTTTCCACATAACACCCAGTGCTCATCCCCACGAGTGGCCTCCTCCATGCCCATCCCCACCCCCACATCCATCAGTTCTGTTTCTGTCAGCATTCAAGAGTCTCCCATGGTTTGCCTCTCTCCCTTTCCCCCACCATTTCCCCCCTTCTTCTCCCCCATGGTCCTCTGTTAAGTTCCTCCTAATCCTCCCATATGTGCAAACATATGATATTTGTCCTCTGCCTAACTTATTTCGCTAAGCATAACACCCTCAAGGTCCATCCATGTTGCTACACATGGCCAGATTTCATTTTTTTCTCATTGCCATGTAGTATTCCATGGTATAGAGTTTAACAATTGTTTTTATTTTCTTTTAGCATTTTAATTATATCAACCACTGCCTTCTGGCCTCCAAAGTTTCTGATTAGAAATCTGCTTATAGAGGCACCTGGTGTCTCAGTTGGTTAAGCAGCCAACTTCGGCTCAGGTCATGATCTCGCAGTTGGTGAGTTCAAGCCCCATGTCAGGCTCTGTGCTGACAGCGCAGAGCCTGGAGCCCGCTTCAGATTCTGTGTCTCCCTTTCTCTCTGCCCTTCCCCTGCTCACACTCTGTCTCTCTGTCTCACAAAAAAATAAATAAATAAATAAACATTTTTTTTTTAAAAAGATATCTGCTTGGG